TGTTGGTCACCACCTCATAATGGGATATCACCACTGGGAGGAGACATTGCCTACTTGACTCATTCCATGGGGCACTCATTTTCTCACATCACCATGGTGAAATTTCTGGTTTCACAGATTTTATCCGAATAGCCAATCCATCCAGATACCCAGAGGACCCTTTCCTTGCTGACCTGTGGTTGCCATATTTTAATTGCTCTATTTCTAAACTTGACTGTAAAGCTTTGGAGAACTGTCCACCTAGTGCATCCTTGGAATGGTTGCCTTGGCACCATTTTGACATGACAATGACAGAAGAGAGTTACAATATATACAATGCTGTGTATGCTGTGGCTCATGCCATACATGAGATGATTCTTCAACGAGTAGAAATGTCACCAGGAGGAAATGGAAATGGACTGGTGTTTTCTCCTTGGCAGATAATGGCTCTGCCATTGGATGTTACATACTGTCACTTGTTGCCAAGATGTTTTAAGCAAACCAGATCATTTATAATCCTTCTCCAAAAGCATTGGGGAATATGACTCTATGTATTGCCCAGGACATAAATGTAGACTTGGTATAAGTGATTGTCAAGAGCATGGAGCCAAGTGGGCAAGCAGAAAGTCATTGTGAATTTGACTGATGCTTTGTTTTATATAAGGCCTCAACAGCCTGCCCTTCTACTGCTTTCTATAGAAGAAATCTAGAGGTTTCTTGTGAAGTTCTTTTAAAAATTTTTCAGAGAACGGATTTCAGATATTTCATAGAGTTCTGAAAAGATAACCGTACTTTCCTCCCAACAGGAAGAGGATTAGTTCTTTAAGTTGATAAAAGATGTTGAGCCTTATCATATAATGTAACTAAGCAGAAATGAGTCACTGATAACCTCGCTTTGCAGATTGATGTCCTGGATACTTCAGTAGGAAAAGGGTGTGGGTTTGATCAACAGCTGAGATTTGTCTGAGCAGTCAGCCTCCTTACTGTGTAGGTGTGCATGTTTGGGAGTTTTCTGTTGATTCTTACTGATATTTTAGAAACATTATGATTGGCTTTCCATGGCCTTTCATTTCTGTTACTCCCTTGTGTGCCTGTAATACGTTGACATCTTCAGCAAGGCATTTCAAATGATAAGAGACTTTCAGTAATTTAGGCTTTGTGTCTGAACCCTGGGATGCCCTTTATCATCAGATGATGCATCTCTTTTAGCTGCAACCTTTTCTGAAGAACCTCCAGTTTAACAATCCTGCTGGTGACACAGTGAATTTCAATCAGGGACACAAATTGAATGGAGAATATGACATTCTCAACTATTGGAATTTCCCAGATGGTGTTGGAATTAAGGTGAAAGTAGGGAAGTTTTCTCCATATGCTCCACATGGTCAACACCTGTCTTTATATGAAAATTTGATAGACTGGGCACAAAAATTGAACAGGTGTATTGGAACTAATAATAATTCTTTACACTACTCATAAATAGCCAATCTTTAAAAAAAAGATTTACAGGGGCCAGTGTTGTAGCATAGTGGGTAAAGCTGCCATCTGTAGTGCCAAGCATCCCATATGGGTGCTGGTTCGAGTCCCAGCTGCTCCACTTCTGACCCAGATCTCTGTTATGGCCTGGGAAAGCAGTAGAAGATGTCCCAAGTCCTTGGACCCCTGCACCCATGTGGGAGACTGGGAAGAAGCTCCTGGCTCCTGGCTTTGGATCAGCACAGCTCCAGCCATTGCACCATCTGGGGAGTGAACCAGTGGATGGAAGACCTGTCTCTGCCTCTGCCTCTCTCTAACTCTGCCTTTCAAATAAATAAATAAGATTAGTAAATAAAATAATAAGATATTTTTAAAATATCTTTTAAAAAGATTTATTTATTTGAGAAGCAGAGTTAGAGACAGAAAGAGGGAGAGACAGAGGGAGGTCTTCCATCCACTGGTTCACTCCCCAATTGGCCACAATGGCCAGAGCTGGGTCTACTTGAAGGCAGGAACCAGGAGCGTCTTCCATGTTTCCCACATAGGTGCAGGGGCCCAAGGACTTGGGCCAACATCCACTGCTTCCCCAGGCCATTTTCAGGGAGCTTGATTGGAAGAGGAGCAGCAGGGATGTGAACTGGCACCCATATTGGATGCCGATGCTGCAGGCAGAGGCTTAACCTACTATGCTACATCGCTAGCCCCAAATGATTAATATTGTTGTGGAGGTTTCTGTTTACTCATAGCACAGTAAATGGCTATTTATGCCATTTAACAATACACCTTCCCAACTAAGAGATTTTTCTTACTGTATTTCTGCTGGATATGAAGGGAACACAACTATTCAATAATATTTCTCAATTCTCATACATTTCACAGCATACAATAAACATGGCATTCAGTCCATAAAATTGGATGTAGATGTACGTGCAAGTTAAGTTTATTTTGATTTCAGTATTGTAAAACACCCTAGTTGGTAGAAGAATGGGTGGTACTCTCAGTAGTGACCAACACATATCTGATTGTCCTCAGCTTCCCCAGTCCATATGCAGTGCGAGTTGTAGCCCTGGATTCAGGAAGACCCCTTGAGAGGGAATGGCTGCCTGTTGTTTTGATTGTACTCCATGCCAAGAGAATGAGATTTCCAATCAGACAGATAAGTGTACCTATTTGGAGAAATTCCTCATTTCTCCTTCAATCTCCCCCATCCATCCAAGGAAGTGGAAAGGGCCCAGAGGAGAACTGCAGAGACAAGGATCTCCACTTGTAAGTTAATAAGGAAATTATTATTATAAATATTTACCCTACCCTATTATGTTACTTTGCATCTGCCTTGAACAAGACAGGCAGATATAAACAAATCTCCTATCTTCTGATCCAGTTCCAAAATGTATGCAGTGGCCAGGGCTGGACCATTCCTGGAATCAGGAGCTGAGAACTGAATCCAGAGCTCTCATGTGTGTGTTAGGAACCCTGCCACTTCAGTCTTCACCCCTGCCTTCCAGGGTCCTCAATGACAGGAAACTGGAACAGGAGCCATATCTGGGAATCAAACCTGGTTACTCAAATGTGGGACATGTGTGCCTTCACCAATAGTCTAAACATTCACTCAGTGACATATGTGTTTTCAGGCATTATTTTACACGTACAGCAGACATTAGAGGCTTTATAAAACTCCTCTTGACCACCGCTCAGTCTCCTGAGTTCCATCTTCATCATGGAGTGAACACAGGTATCATATGTATCTACTTTTCATTTAGTGTGAAACTACATTTAGATCACATTGAAGACATAAATACTACAAGTCCTTATTTTCCCAGGACCTGGCACTGTTTTTCAGTGGAGCACGTGCTTATAAAGGTTGTGTTTGATTTACTGGTATGTATTACTGATGTGTAAAACATGTTTATGATATACCATATTCTGAGTGAGGAGATTGTATTTCATGCTCTTTTCTAGTTCACAGGTAAGAAAAAAAAAATAGAGGGAGTTGGCAAGATGGCAGAATAAGAAGGGAGCACACTGATAGTCCGGGGAGAGACAGTTTAATAAAAGTGGAGATACTGCAGGTTCAAGGAACAGTAGGGGAAGAAACAGCAGAAGAAACGCTTCCAGAACGAGTGATTCACAGTGGACTTGTGTGGAGAGTGTGGGAGCCCACATTTCAGGACACCAGTGGCAGACTCAACACACCAGCGCTGGAACACGCGGTGAGCCGAACCTCAATAGCTCGAGACACCAGCAGGCAAGCAGAAAGAGGAGACTAGAGGGAGTGACCCCATGGGGAAAAGTTCACCCGGCTAACTAGAAGAGAGAGAGAGAAAAAAAAAAGTGACTCATATGGACACAGGTTTCTCTCTCTCCACTCACCTCTCAAAGGCAAGCAAGACAAAGAGCAGGCGCCATCTTGGACATACATCATAAGCAGAGCGACCTCAGGTCTGCACCGACCCTGAGCCTAGCAGAAAAACCCGATTCTGGGTGGGGTGAATTAACAGGAGATTAGGACCTAGTGAATTTGTGGTGCTACTGAACCGAGACTGTGAAAAAAGACGGTGGGGGAGAGAACTCACAGAATTCACGTGAGTACTCTCCAGAGACGCTACAATTCTGTAACTTTGGCAACCCAGTGGGAGACTGAAGGACAATTTGAGCCCACTCTGAGGGCAGAACAGATTCCCAGTGTGGTCCTTGGGAAAGAGCTTCCAATCTCTGAGTCCTGTGGGTATATCATTTGCCTGCTAACTACCTCCAACTTCATTCAGCTGTGCGGAATTACTTCCCTTTTGAATCAAAAAAAGAAACAGTGTTTTGCTTAAAATATTTAGGGACCACATTTACAGTAATTTGAGTTTAGAAAACTTTTGAGTGGAAAAATAGAGTTCTCATATATATGCCCTCTGTACCCCACTTACTAGATTTCTCCATTGGCAATACCTCACACAGGTATGCAAGCTTAAATTATTAGTCCGTATTGATCCTCATTATTGACTATAGGACATGGCATCCATTGTGTTCACTCTTGTATTGTGCAGAATGTAGATTGGGCTATGGTTTAATGGTACATAGCTGACCTGATGGTGTCCTACATAATAATCCTGAAAGTCACTTGCATTCAAGAAGTACAGGTGTCTGCCCATGGTGTTTGTGGTGGTGGGGATAAAGAGGTGACATTCAGCTGGTATTGTCTGCTTTAGAGTAAAAAGCGAGCAGTACTCAAATAGTCCCAGGTTCTCATGAGAGCATCAACCAAGGTTGTAGGTGTGCAAACAGATCATCATGGGATTCCATGGTTAACAGCAACATGGAAGGGTTTTATGCTTTACAACTAAAGATGAAGTGATTAGATATGCAGAATGAAAATATCTGAATTCAGGGTGATTACTGGTTCCACACTGATTGAAAACCACATGTCCTAGTGGGTATCTCTGTAAACAGGATTGGTTTGGGGTCTATGTGCTAACAAAGCGATGTGTGGCTGCCCAGAACACTGGCTGAGGGAGGCTGCCCTGTTGCACTTTGGGTCATTGTAGTGTGTGACACTGGAATTTTCTTGTCTGAATCCTTACAGAAAGCCTTGACTGATGCCTCCCTTTATGCCCTCTGATGCAATCCCAGTACATAATTGGAAAAAGTTCATGGAGAGGTTTATTGACAAACCCTTGCAACAAATGTAACTATCAGGGGTTTCTTCCTTGAATCTTTGTCTCCATGGACTTGGAGGAAAGCCTGGCACCTGGGGCAAGGAGGATGATTCACAAACATGTTTTTCTTCTTGTGTTTTTCACCAGGACAGAAGACCTGAACTGCAGAGCCTCAGGGCAGGAAAAGTATCAGATTCCCCCATGGATGAGTGGACAGATGTTCGAAAGAAGTCAGATGGAGCAGTATTAAAGTGGCTAGTTTCAAGCAATCACACACACACACGCGCGCACGCTCTATGTATGCACCTGCATGACCCTGCATGTTCACTGCTGTTGTGTCCTAGGGTTTTACACATTTGAAGATGTTTCCTTTGATTTTTCTGTTGCTCTTTCTGCAGCTGTTTCCCCTTGTGACTTGTCAGGATGGTCCCGACTGCTATTCCCAGATGGACCAGAGTTTTTACAAGGATGGAGATATTGAGATTGCTGCTTTTTTGCACATTTACACATATGAGGTTCCCAGAACCATGATGAGGTTCAGCAAATATCGAAGATTCAGATGGTAAGTTGTCCTTGCCATAATCATTTTCCATTAATTCACATAGTACCTACTTGTTATTAGGTCTGCAATTCTATAGGCAAATATGTTCTGTATCCCTGCCATGTCCATCTTCTGTCCCTCCTAAAAACTGCTAGTAATTGATTTGGGGCATGAGGAAGACATTTCTTTCTGCCTGGCACCGTGGATGGTTCAGGGAAATAGTGTCTCAGGAGAGGAGGAACCAGAGTCCGGTTGGTATCTTCCTGTCCTTCCCTGTCCAGGTTCATCAGCTCAGGGGCCTATTGTGCCTCAGTAGCAGATTCTTACAGAACCCATGCACTGAAATGAACAAATCTGAGTTACATGAGCTCTTCCACACGTGCTCACACTCTTTTCTGCTACGTACTAGATTTGGGGCCATGAGAACACTTCATTTCTTCTACAGTTGTAAAGGAGAAAAGATTCAAAAAGGTTTTTCTATATAAAAGTAATCTCAGGGCAACACTTTGCACAAATATAGTAATTATATTTTACTGATGAATATACCCATAAGAATTTCAATGTTTTTAATCTACTACATTTGTAATTTTTCCCTGATTCTGCCTTTTCTGGGCAAAATTGATTTTTAAGGGGGATTATTCTGTTTCTGCCCCTCTTAAAGGTACTTTATTTGTAGCTAAATGTAAGTGTTTCATTATATATATATAGTATATATAAATTTCATGCATGAAGAATATAGTATCATGTAGGACAGTGGGACTGTTTTCTTCAAACCTGTTTATGAAGGTGTCAATTTTCTAATTGGTTTCTACTGTAAGGCTACAGGAAGTAGGCTGCAGCTGCATAGAACTTTGAGAGAAGGTAGGTAGTAGGACATAGATAATTTCAGTATCATTAAAGCCAATGGATTTGAGAAGTATAGTTGGTGCCACCAAGGAGATGCAACTGATGAAGTATTTTAGGCATTTGTCCAAAGATCTCTGCAGAAAAAAATCTAATGCATACTAACTTGGCATAACAATAGTATTCACTTCACATTGATTTTTATAAATTCACATTCTTTGATATGTGCACATGGTATCCCACTTATGAAATAGATATTTATTACTACTAGTAGTATTCCCCCTGGTTATGCATGCAGCACATCATTAAGTGTACCCTTAATGATGGAGACCAGGAAATAGTGACTTTCCAGTAGTAGGAAAAGAGGCTATGAATAGAGCCCAAGTTCCTCCAAGATGTATGCCATACAAACTGGAGATCATAATCAAATCTTAATAAACCCAGGGAAAATATCTGTGTTGATGATACTTGGAAAAACAAGAAATACTGAACTGTTAATACATTTAGGCACTATACCCTCCAATGCTAGATTCACCAACTTTAGAACATACAACAGTTACTGAAAAACTGTTTTTAGAGATAAGAACACAGCATAAAAGATAAACTCTTACAAATTCCAGTGTGTCCAAGAGCCGTCTAGACATTTTGGTACAAAGCAGCAGCTGGAGAAAGAAATGAGAGGATGTGGAATAATGGAAGTGTCATAGTAATGAGGAGAGAAACAGATATATGAAATACAAAACTGAATTTTATTTGATTCACAGCAAGGATTTTCAAATTTCCTCATTCTACAAAGTATGAATGACATATTTGGATAACAAATATGTATAGAAACTATGTATACATAAAACACTATATATATATAGCAACTGTATGCATGGTATACCTATGTATAAATATATAGAGAGAATATGTATATAATATGAATACATATATACATATTATGTTGCAGCAAGAACCAAGAACTGAAAAATTGTCACTTCCTCTGGAGCACACAGTGACCCTTAGCAAGCAGTGTACATGACATAGTCTATTCATGAGGAATCAACACACAGGACATCAGAAATAAATTCAAGGGGCTCCTCATTTACATTCTTAGTGAAATGTCAGATCCTAAAAAGTAGAAATGCATCATTTTCTTTGCATGGAAGGCTATTTATATTCAAAATTGTAGGAAAACTTGAGTGAAGAAGGCCTGTTTGGAGTAAATACTGATACTACTCATAATGATTTACTTTAACATATGTTTAGTGTTCTAAATGCATGACTGGCTTAATTGTAAAGCATCATAGCCCAGTGATTCATGTTCACCCAGGGAGTGTTTCCAGCTTCTCTAAAGTGCTCCTCCCTTTTCACTATTTCCCTTATTTGAAGCTCTGAACCCGATTTTTATTTTCATGGCTTGTGATGGAGGTTGATGGATAAGTTTAATGGGGAAGAGATTTTTCAGGATCAATTACAGACTCCCATTTTCAGTGCCATGACATCATCCCTCTTCTCGATTACATAGCCTTCAAGTGAGTTATTCTCTTCCCATTACAACCTGCAGCCTTATGATTGTATGACTGCTATTTCAAGAAGCACTTAATGATGTGATAAGATGAAGAATCATTTTAGTTCATGAATGTAGGAAACATTTAGAGGCAGTGCTAGAGATGATGTGCCATCCCTTGTCATGCTTTCTTTGACAACTGGAGTGTAATCCTAGGTGTGCATGAACTTTAGAGAGGGCATTCCAGAGCCTGTTGTAGTATTTACTTTAGATATCAAATACAAACACTTAGAAGAGGTAGCTGTTGCCAGAGATGATTTAAATTGATGAGGTATGCATCCAAAAATAAGATCATGTTCTTTGGCTTCATAGACAGCCATGTTACAACATGCCCAAGACATTATGATGTAAAAGCAGATCTAATTTTTCAGAATCATTTAGGCTTGGAAACCAGTAAAAGTTGGTAGCAGCTTTGGTTCTGGTGAGGACGTGTCCTGCAAATACAACAGTTCACACTCTGTACTCAGCAAATCTACACATATGGATTAGAACATATGAATGTTTGGCCATGACCATTCCATCTCTTACAGTAATCACAGAATTGAAGATAATCTGGATTGGAGGCTTTTCCCTTAAAAATCCTTGTGCCTTTCATGCAGGTTTCAGTCCAAAAACTACCAGTATGTTCTGGCCTTGGTTTTCGCTATTGAGGAGATCAACAAAAACCCCCATCTTTTACCCAACATGACCGTGGGATTTGGTCTCTATAATGTCATGCACAGTCATATGACGGTAATGGAGAACCCCTTCATCTGGCTTGCGGGACTGGAAGAGGACATTCCTAATTACACATGTAGGAAACAGAGCAAGTCTGTTGCTGTAATTTCAGAAAGTAGCATTGCTGTCCAAATGGGGACCCTGCTGGAACTCTACAAAATTCCACAGGTGAGTGTGTAGTGAAAAAGTGGGATAAAGTACATCAACTTAGGTGCCTTACTTAGAACCAAAAATTTAAGGACAGAGACCTTATACATTTGACACAGTATGTGATCTAAAGAGAATGTGTGCAGAGATTTTGTAGATTAGCCACATTTGTTCTGAAGCGGAGGTGTGGGTGAATGAAAAGGAGAAATTATTTGCAACCTGTGAGTCTAATGATTCATGAACTAGGAAGCTTTTATGTACTGGAACATGATAAAAATGAAATATCCTAAAATCTGACACTCCCGTTATCTGCTTAATTTTTTCAGGAATAATGTTTTACACTATGACAATAACCTTACACAGATTTCTTGCCTTTTCCCTTAGCTGACCCTTGGACCTTTTGAACCTGTTCTGAGTGACAGTGGTCACTTTCCTTCCCTCTATCAGATGGCACCCAAAGACACTTCTCTGACCCGTGGCATGGCCTCCTTGATGCTCCATTTTGGGTGGACCTGGGTGGGTTTGGCCATCTCAGACCTCCCAAAAGCTATTCAGTTTATGTCTGATTTGAAAGTAGATTTACAGAAGAATGGCATCTGTGTAGACTTTGTGGAATTGATCCCAGCCACTCTAGAGTCACTTTCTTCATTCCAAAGTACATTTCATATACAGATCCTAAAATCATCAGCAAATGTGGTGATTCTTTTCTGTGTCACTGAGTCACTCATAGGCACCAGCTTTCAATCATGGAGGGTGTTAATGATGTGGAAAGTCTGGGTCACCACTTCACAATGGGATTTTGCCAGTTCTGAGAAACCTTTCTTGTTCCACTCATTCCATGGGACTCTCATTTTTTCACACCAGCATAGTGAGATCTCTGGTTTCAAAAACTTTCTTCGGACAGCTAACCCTTCCAAGTACCCAGAAGACTCTTACCTCTCCAGATTCTGGTCGCTGGCTTTTAATTGCTCAGTTACTGGGACATCCTGTAAAACTTTGCAGAACTGTCCACTGAATGCCTCCTTGGAATCCTTGCCTCCGCATCATTTTGATATGACCATGAGTGACGGGAGTTACAACATATACAATGCCGTGTATGCTGTGGCCCACAGCATACATGAGATGCTTCTACAAGAGGTAGAAATGCAGCCAGGGAACAATGGGGCAAAGGTGGCATTTTCTCCCTGGCAGGTAACTTGGTTTCCATTATTGACATGTACTCCTGAAGTGATCCCCTTAAGAGCTTCTGCAGGGGTTCAATCCAAGTAGCTTGGGAACCTTTCTGCAAAACAGAAGATAAAAATGAGCCTCTGCCTGTAATTTGTCATTAGCAAAAGGGCTCCAATGAAAAGTGGGCAGGTCTCTTGGATAAGCATCAGTGCTGTGACTTAAAAATACTCTCCAATTCTGTCAATTTAATTTTGACATGTGAAATACGTAGACTGTGTTATTCCATTTTCAGTCTCAGCAGTACAGTAATTATTTTCAGGTCCAAATGTTACTGAGGATGCTCATCTACAATGAACATAAGGGATCTCATATAATTTGCACAGTTCTTTATTCTAGTAACTTTATTACAGATAGTTGTCCTAGGTACACTGAGAAAATGAGTGTTGGTAGCTTGGACTGCACTGTTGGAAATAGTCGGAATCTCACAGCTAGATATTTTTGATTCCACTTGTTTTTGTAGAAAAATGAGTGAAATCATACTTACCTTGATGTAGTTCTCATCATTTTTTTTTACTTCAATTCATTGGGTGGTTCTAAACAGGTTCTATTGTTTATTTGTGATTACAGACAAAGAGAGGTTTTCTCTAACCTGGGTTTCATGTGTTATTGCTTGGGCAGTCTTCATGAGAATATGATGCATTTTTTCAGTTGCACCCGTTTCTGAAGAATCTCCAGTTTACCAATCCAGCTGGTGACCTAGTGAATTTGAATCACAGGAAAAAATTGGAAGCTGAATACGACATTCTCAACTTTTGCAATTTTCCATATGGTTTTGGACGTAAGGTTAAAGTAGGATGGTTTTCCCCATACGTTTCACAGAGTGAACAGTTGTCTCTCTCTGAGAATTTGATAGAGTGGGCCACAGGAATTACAGAGGTAAGTTGGACTGATCATAAGGTTCACATGACACATTGTTACCCTCCAACTGCTAAGGGAGTATGTGCAGTATGGCTTATTCAAAAGACACTTAGAGACATTAAACCACTCCACTTCCAATCCAAATACTTTCTTATGTTTTTAGTGTCTGAGGATGGACAGTACACACACATTTTCCACCACATCGTTTGAATCTATTTAAGAAAATCAAATTGAATGTTGTCATTTTGTCAGAAACAGATGTTTACAGTTTCAGTGAATAAGTTTTCAGGACTTGAAAACCCTCTACTTGGAACTTAAGTTATAGTCTGAACTATGACCAACACTCATCTGATTTTTCGCAGACTCCACGCTCGGTATGCAGTGTGAGTTGCAGCCCTGGATTCAGGAAAACCCCTCTTGAGGGAAAGCCTGCCTGTTGTTTTGATTGCACACCTTGTCCTGAGATTGAGATTTCCAATCAGACAGGTAAGTCAGTGCCTGCCTCTTGGAGAAGTTAACACCTGTTTCTTAAATTATCAACTTATCCATGGAAAGAAAGTATGTGGAATATGACTGCTGAGAACAGTCTTTCCCCCTTCAGGTAGAAATTATTCCTAATAATCAATAATAATCCACAAAAGGATAAAACTTTCCACAATACACTCCCTATATTATTTTTGAAAGCATATAAAAGACAGAATGTCTCTGTAATGCTGACCATGTTGGAGTTCAGGCTGATATACATATGGTAAAAAATTGGTAGAGTTGGAAACATACCAGGGGATTCCAATTCAATCCCATCAAGGTGGCATGTGCCAATGCCATCTCACTATTCCAAGTGATCAATTTCAGTTCACAATTGATCATAATGAAGGGACTAAGAGTCAAAGGGAGCACATAAACAAGTCTAGTATCTGCTAACACTAACCGATAGAATAAATAAAGGGGAGAGTGATCCAACATGGGAAGTGAGATACTCAGCAGACTCATAGAATGGTGGATGTCCTAAATAGCACTCTGGCCTCAGAATCAGCCCTAAAGGCACTCGGATCTGGCTGAAAAGCCCATGAGAGTATTTCAGGCATGGAAAGCCAAGACACTCTGGCAAAAAGATCTCTGTGAGTGAGATCCCAGTGGAAAGAACAGGTCTTCAAAGAGGGAGGTGCCTTTCTCTGAAGGGAGGAGAGAACCTCCACTTTGACTATGACCTTGTCTAAACAAGATAAGAGTCAGAGAACTCAAGGGGTTTCCATAGCCTTGGAAACTCATGACTGGTGCATAGGCAGATTACTGATGCCATAAACAGGAGTGTCAATTTGTAAAGTCAACAACAGGAGTCACTGTGATCTTACTCCTCATGTAGGATCTCTGTCCTTAATGTGCTGTACACTGAGGCTTAATGCTATAACGAGTACTCAAACAATATATTTCACTTTGTGTTTCTATGGGGGTGCAAACGATTGAAATCTTTACTTAATGTACACTAAACTGATCTTCTGTAAAAAAAAAAAAGAAATTATCAATTCCCAACTTGACTCTCACTGGGATTAAACATGACAATAGGTCTCATCTGATTTCATCATCATTTAAAAAAAATCATCTATTATTTTTCCCTTTATGTTTCTGTGTGGGAGCAAACTGTTGAAATCCTTACTTAATGTATACGAAGCTGATCTTCTGTATATTAAGATAATCAAAAATGAATCTTGATGTGAATGGAAGGGGAGAGGGAGTGGGAAAGGGGAGGGTTGTGGGTGGGAGGGACGGTATGGGGGGGGAAGCCATTGTAACCCATGAGTCGTACTTTGGAAATTTATATTCATTAAATAAAAGATAAAAAAAAATGAATAGAAACCAAGATTGGGTAATGTTCACCCCATAAAACAGTGTGGCATTTCTAAGATTTATTTCATGAATCAGAACTATGCATCACATGCATCATAAAAATTTTCCAGTTTTTGCTTGTGTTGTATGCGTAGTTATTTGTACCATATATTTAGTATCATTCAAATTTTTTGAAACTTATTGTTGATAATGAAAGGTTTTGGAAACAGAGTACAGTCCATGGGAGTAGTGTGGTGTATGTGCTAATTCAGTATAGGAAAACTCATGTCTGGGTTCCTTGTGCTTATATAGGTAAAACTCCTTTCACCAAATTCAAGTGTAGCATGCTTGGAGTGAGAAAGTGCAACTCTACACAAACTGTGTGTTATGTGAAAAACTATCTTAGAAATCATGCAGTATATCATCCTGAGGATGATACTCATCAAATATCATAAATGGGGCTAATCTTAGCCTTTGACAAAAGTCATTGCTGCTCAAAATATAAATCTTCAAGAACCTTCTTATGCTTACATATGTACACACATTTATAAAATTCATATCAAAAGAACTCAACCTGACATACATGGTAATAAGTATGCATAGTGGACCTGGCACTGTGGCACAGTGGGCTTAAGCCCTGGCCTGAAGCACCAGCATCCCATATGGGTGCCAGTTCTAGTCCCAACTGCTCCTCTTCTGATCCAGCTATCTGCTCTGGCCTGGGATAGCAGTAGAAGATGGTCCAAGTCCTTGGGCCTCTGCACACACATGAGAGGCTCCGAAGAATCTCCTGTCTTCAGATCAGCATAGCTCTGGTTGCTGCAGCCATCTGGGGAGTGAATCAGCAGATGGAAGGCCTCACTCTGTCTCTACCTCCCTTGGTAACTCTGTTTTTAAAAAAAAATAAGTGTGCATACCAAGGTAGGTCAATGACTGCAAATTCAGCACAAGACCTTGAAGGAAAAATGTGGACATTATAAGGAAATTGAAGTAAGTAAAACTTGGAAGAATTTAAAGTTGGTGATCATAAACAAGAAAGATTTATGAACCTCAGCAAGATGGAACAGTGCGAACAATAAGATTACTCTGTGTGTGTGTGTGTGTGTGTGTATACAAAGAGAGCTGAAGAGGTCTATTTAGATATAAAAATACTAATATTAGAGCTTATTATTTAATTCTGATACATTGAAAAAATATAGAAGAAATTCAGATATTCTCAGATGAAATATGAAATATGTTGAGCAATATTTGAAAAATCCAAATATCCTCACAGTTACTAAAATAATTCCCAATACTTGAATTGTGGTAAACAATTTTCAGATATTTTCTCAACTCCTACAGAGAACAGGAAAAATGTAAAAATTCTGTTTCTTCTATGGGAACATCTCAAGTTGATGGATCAAATACTGCTAGACATTTCAGCAAAATGAAATTTTAAGATGCTGTTGTCGAAATAAATTCATACATTTGAAATCTCAAACAATGTAAATCCAACAGTATTTTTTAAATAAGCTACATCATGCCCAAAGAGTTTCATAAAATCTAATTCAGTTTATAGTACATGAAAAGTGCAATATTAATTAGCATAACTGAAGAAAAATAGTTAATAAAATCTAAGTGATCTATGAATTGTAAACAAAGAACAAAACCACTCAAACATGACAAAAAGAAGGATTAGCTTTCAATCCTAAAGAGTATTTTAGAATGCTACAAAACATGGAAATTACAACTGAAGATTGGATACAAAGTTGACAAAAGAATGCAACTTCTACAGAAAATTGCACAGGAGGTTTGGCTCCATGCATATTGTCAAAAAAGAATGACATTCAACTCACTAAAAAGGAAGATTTAAAAGTGGCATCATTTAAAGTGATAATGGAAAGGTGTATTGAAATCAGTGAATCGGTAATTGAATTAAGTAGTGCTGGTATACCAAATTGTACAAAGCAGTTACGTTTCCTTACCAATTCTGGAAAACAAACCTATGAAAGATGGTACTTGTAATGTCTCAAAGTATGAAATATCCAAAGGTAAGACTAACCAAATATTGGAAGAAATCTGCAAGTTGAGACATCAGTCATGGATGGAACATTATATTGAACATAAGAGGATACAGACAGGGCTGGAGAGAAAATTCATGTTCAAGGATAAAAAGACAGGAAAGTGGAAATATGGAGTAAGTTTCAAGGTGATCTACAGACTGACTTTGATTATAGGCAGCATCCTAGTGTGTTTTTTGATGAAAACTTTCAAGGGTGGAAACTAATCCAGCTGGTATCAAGTGTACAGCTGTTCTGTGTTTCTCTAGAACCTGACCATTTGCCTTCTAATGGTGGTTTGTCAATCAGTGCTTTCCCCTATCATGACATAATCCAGATTCTACCTTAAAGAGATAGGTTTTAGTGAGATTGCTAGGTGATTTCTGTGCAACCAAAATTCACAAAGTATATCTCCCAGTCCATGATTTTAAGAGTGGGAACCTGGGGCCGGTGCTGTGGTATAGTAGGTTAAGCCTCTGGCTGGGTCAGGAGTTTCAGTCCCAGCTGCTTCACTTCCAATGCAGCTCTCTCCTGATGCTTGGGAAAGCAGCTGAAGATGGCCCAAGTTTCAGAGCTCACACCAATACAGGAAGCCCAGAAGAAGCTCCCAGTTACTGGCTTCAAAACAGCCCAGTTCCAGCTATTAATGTCTTTTGTGGTGTGAATCACTGGGGGAAGATCTCTCCCCTCCTCTTTTTCCCTCTTTCCCTTTCTCCCTGTC